AAGGCAATGGCTGCCTTGTTGTCGACGTACAGAATTGGAGGAGAATGAGGCCTCTCTCCCAAGTCGGTCAGCAGGTAGGTGAGCAAGTGTAACTCCTGTGCAGCCATGGCTGTGGCGTAGATCTCAGCCTCACAACTGGAGCCGAGAACAGAAGACGAGTGCGTAGACCGCCAAGAAACAGAGCCAGAGCTTAGACTGAAGGTGTAACCCTGTGACGACCGCTGCGTAGCCTGGTCGTCAACCCAAGAAGCGTCCGAGTGACCAGTGAGGACAACGTCGCCCCCTCCTCCAAGCACGAGCCCCATGCCCGATGTACTGCACAAGTAGCGCAGTACCCTCTTAGCAGCATCCATGTGCACCTTTCGGTGCCGACTAGGAGCTACGTAGCGAGCCAGAAGGCCAAGAGGGTACGCGAGGTCAGGACGAGTGCAGGTCATCAGGTACATGAGGCAGCCAACTAGCTCTGGGTAAGGACCAGTCGGCTCTACGGACTCGTCCGAAGGTGGAGCTGAGAGCGAGTGACCTGTAGCGAGAGGAGTGGCCTGTGCCGAGGACCAGGTAAAGCCGAAGCGCTGAAGGACCTGCTGCACCATGTGTGACTGAGTCAGTGTGATGGTGCAGCGTGCTCTGTCCCGGGTGATCTGCAAGCCAAGGTAACTGCGCAGCTCACCCAGGTCTGTGCACGTGTGTCTCTTCTGCAGATCCGACTTCACCAGGGCGAGAGCCTCAGTGTCAGCAGTGGCGAAGACCAAGTCGTCGACGTACACGAGGATGTAGAACGGCGGCAGCGAAGTGTCGGTGCGCAGAAGCAGCGACGGGTCAGCAGTCGAAGGAGCAAACCCAAGAGCCGCAAGTGTCGTCCTCAGTGTGTCATGCCACTCATGTGGCACTTGGCGGAGACCGTAGACCGGCCGCCGGAGGGAACAACCCAGTGAAGCCGGGTGGGCGGCGCAGCTAGATCTCCTCGTGCACGCTGCCCTGTAAGAAAGCTGTGCTGAAGTCAAGCGAGTGAAGCTCGTAGTCACGCTGAGTGGCAACGTGCAGCAGCACCCAAAGAGTGGTCATCTTCGGGGTGGGGGAGAAAGTCTGGAAGAAGTCAACTCCCTCCCGCTGACTGAAGCCTCGAGCAACGTAACGAGCCTTGAAGACAGTCGGAGAACCTGGCGGCCGCTTCACCCTGAAAATCCACATGCCGTCGACTATGTTCGCCCCAGGAGGGGGAACCTCGTCAACGTATGTGCCTGTGGACTTCCATGATGCCATCTCTGCGTCCATGGCTGTCTGCCACTGAGAGGAGTACTAACCCGCTATCGCCTCAACGTAAGAGCGCGGGGTCGGGATGTCTGGTGCATCCGGGTCTCCCTTAAGGGCAAGCAGCATGGCCACGAGATGAGGCGCAGCGGCCGCAAGACACTCAAGGTCCTCCTGTCTGTCCTCAAGGACGTCCGTGCTAAGAGCACACTCACCCCCGACGGACGGAGGACAAACAGACTCAGACTCAACAACAAGACTAGCAGCATAGTCTAGACGACAGGCAGCAGCAAAGTCAACTAGCTCAACGACAAAGGCAGACGCAGCCGCAGACTCAAACAACGGGTCAGTGGCAACAGTGGCTAGCAGACGTGTGACAATAGGGTGCTCAGCACCAAACCGGTCAGACTTAGGGTCCGGAACGACAGGCAGAGAAGACGTAGGAGGAGACGGCAGAGGAACACGCTGCGGAGGAGAGGAAGGACGACGGACTACGAGGTGGGTGCCGGGGAGAGCCGGCTGACGCGGACAAGGAACACGACGACCGGAACTACCAGAACGGACAGGCGAGACAGGACGCAACGCAGGCTCACGACGCTCAGTAAGACCCTCTATCTGCTTAGTGTAAGGAGAAGGAGCAGGCAGCGGTGAGCCAGGCTGTAACGGTTGACCAGTAGACGAAGGGAGACTAAGAACCTGGCGAAGCACAGAGTCAGGCGGTGGCTGAGACGACGGAGACGGTGGAGCGAAGAACAGGCGCGGCTGTGCAGTGCCACCAGCACCAGCAGCTCCAGTACCCCCAGAAGCTCCAGCACCTCCAGCAGCTCCAGAACCCTCAGCGCCAGCTCCTCCAAGACCAGCTCCACCAGCAGCAGCACCCCCAAATCCGGCTCCTCCAGTCCTAGGGTCTCCAGCCTCAGTGTCTTCAGCAGCAGCACCCCCAGACCCAGGGTCTCCAGCAGTAGCACCCTCAGGCTCAGCACCTCTAGTCCCAGCAGCTCCAGTACCTCCAGTATGGGCACCTCCGGGACCAGCACCACCCCCAGCTCTAGTGACGTCAGCAGAAGTACCTCCAGCGGCAGAGCCCCGAGCTCCAGAAGCGCGACCCTGACGGCGACCGTACCCGTCGTACAACTGCTGTGAGGTGAGAGGCACACGCGGACGAAGGCGGCTACTCCAAGGAGACTGCGCAACAGCAGAATCAGAACCCTCAGGCGTCGCACCCACAGACTCAGTACCCCCAAGCTCCTCACGCTCGGGCTCAGCACCCCCACACACAGCACCCCCAGGCTCAGGACCTCCAAGCTCCTCACGCGCAGGCTCAGCACCTCCAGGCTCCTCACGCTCGGGCTCAGCGCCCCCAGACTCCGCACCCCCAGGCTCAGCACCTCCTGAGTCCTCACGCGCAGGCTCCGCACCCCTAGGCTCAGCACCCCCAAGCTCCGCACCCCCACGCTCCGCACCCCCAGGTCCAGCACCCCCAACGACAGCACCACCCCCAGCAGGACTGGAGTCACCATTGACCTCAACAGGCGCAGGCAAGGGAGGATCTACCTGAGAAACACCTGAAGGAGCAGAACCTCGCGCGGGGAGGGGGTCTACCGGAGGAGGACTTGGGGCGAGAAAGAGCGGCGGGGGGGGGCGAGGGGCAGTGCGGTAGGGAAAGAGACGGTAAAAGGGGACGGACTCGTCAAAGGTGACGTCCTGAGACGGAAAGACGCGGTGCGAGGCGGGGTCGTAAAACTGCCAGCCAGGCGCGTCAGGGACAAAGCCAAGGAAGACGCATGGAATGGCGCGAGCGGAGAGCTTGTCCGCGGTGGTATTGCGGACAAAGGCACGAGCACCCCAGACCCGGAAACGCGACGCATTGTGTCCACAGCAGTGTGGGCGAGGTCTCCGGCAAGGAGACACGGGGCCAGAGTTTGAGCTGATGCGCAGTGTATCGGACCGCAAACGGCCACAGAAAATGGGGGGCAGCCGCATGGATCATGGAGGTACGAGCGACCTCCATGACTAAGCCAATGTGGCGCTCAGCAACCCCATTCTGCTTAGGAGAGGCCGGAAGCGTGAACGTCTGACGGATGCCGTGCTTCGCACAGAAGGCTGCCAAGAGGTCGGAGGAGAACTCACCAGCTCTATCAGAGTGCAGACGCACGACAAACAGTGCGGATGCAGGGGATCAAAACATTTGGGACCTTCCCCTTGCGCTGCAAGGGGAAGACCGTGGTGTAACGCGTGTAGTCGTCAACGACCAGCACGAAGTACCGCTCGTGGCCCTGTCCACGGACGCGGGCTGGGCCCCACACGTCCAGGTGGAGAGTCTGCAGGGGAGCCTCTGTGGGAGGGAACGAGGAGGAGTGAGGAGCGGCGCGCTGCCAACCCTCGACGCAGGGAATGCAGGGCGGCAGACGCGGCGCGCAGGGCCTAAGCGGGCTGCGCGCGGGCGGCTTAAGCGGCGCGCGGGCCGGCAGCAGGCTGCGCGGGTGGCTGACGTGGCGCGTGGGGCCGAAAACGGGCTGCGCAGGCTGCTTAAGCGGCGCGCGCTAAAAAAAAAAAGATACGCGCGCGTGCAGCCGAGGCGCGTGCGGGCAGCAGGCAAGGCAGGCAGGGAGGCAAGGCTATAGGTGAGGTAACGTGGTAACAGGTGGGCCCTAATCTTAGGTCCTGAAGACCTACTGCTCTAGATACCATCTTAGAAACTAGGCAGGAATGATGTGTGCATTAGGTCAAGGTTGGGGTACAAAACTAGAGTGTCGAGATGATTTTGTGTGCCCCCTAAGGCGAGCCCCAATATAGCCTAGATAATAACATGCATATGTTTTGACACTTAAGATTGCCTGGGGGACGGGGAAGGGATGGTCAAGGACGAACGTTAGCATACGAGGCGTACGCGGACACGGATTGAACGGAAAGCAAGCGGATTCTAGGGCTTCAACTCACCAGCCTTTGTGGTGAGGTTGATTTCCTCTTCTTCAAACCAGACACGGTATCTATGCCGCACACCGCACTTGAACGCGCGGTTCACCGACACATCCAGCGGCTGCACCAACGGTGTGCAGCCTCCTGGGATGACAGCTCGGGACAGCCGAAACATCCGCATGGTCTGCCCGACTGCCTCGGTCAAATGGTCGCGGTAGGAGTCGAGCACAACCAAGCCCTCCCTGCGGCGTACGGGTGTGTCACGCAGGGGCTTCAAAAACGGCACCATCACCTGGGTGATCCAATCTTGCACCAGGGCTTCGTCCATCCACCCCTTGTCCGACGCACGGACCACCACACCTGCCAAACAACATACGGTAAGAGCGTCAGGTTCGGTGGCGACATTCGACAGGCAAGAGCACGGACAACATCGTAATCGTGTGCTGCTTACCGGAAGGGATGGCCACCTTTGGGATGGTCTTGCGCTTGAAAACCACGTACGGCAGAAGTTTGAGCCCGCTCGCTGTTACTGCCAGCATGACAGTAACACGCTCCTTCTCATAGCCCGCACTCCGTACATGGACCGTGCGCGCTCCCTTCATCTCGAGCGTGCGCTGCGCCAGCATCTCCAGGAAAAGCGGCATCTGGTCCGCGTTCACGATAATGTCGAGCGGGTTATCATGCAGAGAGCGCATCTGCCGCACAAACTCCCAAAACGACTCCACCTTGGCCTCGCAATCTGCGAGTAGAGCAACGAGAAACATTAGCTAAACATTGCCATGGGTTAATCGCTTCAGAAGCTAAACATTAGCTAAACATTGGCACAATCTTCACTTACCCGCAGCCAGCTTCTGTCCCATCTTCGTCTTCACCCGCCTCGCCAAATGCCAGCGCGCGCGGAAACGAGTCGCCCACCGGAACGAAGCGTGCCAGTTGACCACGTGCATCCTGTGCTTCATGTACTTGGCGCTCCACTTCTGGAGCATGCTGACCGTGACGGCAAGGCCCTTCGCCCGGTGCTTCAGGAACTGGCGGTAGACAGCCCGTTCCATGAACGGGTACTTGGACTTGCGCCCCTGCCCCAGGAGGCGACGGCGGCAGCTGGAAGCGACCTCCAGCCGCTCCCGCATCTTCTTCCATTCGCGGATCTGGCAGGGCTGCACGTTCGCGAGTTTCGCCAGCACGCGATTAGAGAGGTCGGGCTGGGAGTCTTGCATCTTCAACCAGTGGAGTTTCTCCTTCGCGGTGATGGCATTCCGCTGGCGTTTCATCATGCGGTGGCGAGGACTTGGCGGGGCAGCATCGGCGTTGCGCTTGGTCTGTCCCTGCGGGCGGTTACGCTCGGGAAAGGTAGGGACAACCACTCGAGGAAGGGTGGGGCGAGGACAGTCAGAGCTACTGCTCGGTTCATCCCGGGCAGAAGCACTACCGGGAGCATCCGGCTGGGGCAAAATAGGGCGAGAAGATGTCCGTGCGCGTGCAGCAGCGCCAGTCTGAACAGTAAAAGGGCGCTGCCGCCTTTCATCGGTATTGCTAGAGTCTGGAGATGACTCCATGCTTGTGAACTACGGAGGGATGGTGTCACTCGCCATGGCGGACGAGATTTTAAACTAGAAAAAAACGAGCACAAGGAGTTGCTCGCTCTCATAGCCAGCCGAGCTCTATGCAGAAACGTGCACTGAAGCCGCTTGACCAAAGGGACGCTGAGGGCCATGTGAGGAGGCCTAGACGTGACCAAACGAATGTCAAGAGGTCACAGGTACAGTGACCTCTCAGCACCGTGCGCGACTCGGGCCATGTATAGCACTGTACTGTGCCTGAACCCAAGCTGCACGAGGTTGGCATTGCTGTCATCGAAGCTGCCTCAGTTGGCCCACTGGAATTTGCCATGTGGCAGATTCCAGTGGGGGGTGACGTTATCGTCGAGGACTCGGTTTTGCGCCCGCGTTCAAAAAACTAAATGTGAGGACAGAATACTGTTTTTGTTTCCTCTCTTTTCTGCTTAAAAAAAAAGTGCTATATATTAAGACCCGGGTATTATGTAGCTTTTTCCTATGAGAAGACACCACCCTTTTTTTCCCTGTATTTTTATATCTACCCTAGGGTGTTATGTCCGGGAGAATACAGTATATCCGGGGGAATACAATAAAAAAGAAAATACTAATAGATAACCACACGGACACAAATAAGCATGCAGATTCTTTTATTACCATACCACACACAATTACGATACCACAATACCACTACACTTAATCACTGCTGCTGAAGCTGGAGCAACTGCTGCTGCACCACCTGCTGCTGCAGCTGCAACTGCTGCTGCAACTGGAATTGCTGCTGTTGCTGTTGCAGCCACACTTGCTCCAATCGCTGCTGCTCCTGGTGCAACCGTTCCTGCTGCTGTTGCTGCAGCCGCTGCTTCAGCTCCGCAGTCATATCCACACGCAACGACCCCGGCAGCTGCCAAAACGTTGCGGGCAGGTTCTGAAGCGCCGGGCAGTCGAGCCGCAGCAGGCGCAAGTGCTGCAGCTGCCCAAAATTCTCGGGTAGCTGCGTGAGGTTCTTGCTTGCCAGGGATAGCTCCTCCAGTGCAGACAGGCGGCCAAACGACACGGGCAGCCAGTTGAGATTGTCACAGCAGACGTCAAGGAGGGAGAGGCTGGCCAAGGCAGAGAGGGAGGAGGGGAGGGACTCGAGGCAGTGGCACTGGAGGATCTTGAGCGAGCGCAGCGCTGTGAGCTGGCCGATGGAGACGGGCAGCAGGGTGAGGTGCGCACAGGCGAGCGTGAGTGAGGTGAGCAGGGAGAGGTTGCCAATGGACTCGGGCAGCGCGTAGAGCTTGGGGCTGTCGAGCACGAGCGAGCGCAGCGATGTGAGCGCGCCAAAGGAGCGCGGCAGCGACCCCGAGAAGCGCAGCTGCAGGTCCTCCAGGCGGGGCAGCGCCACGAAGGTGGGCGGCAGGGCCGTGACGTGCGGGCACAGCAGACGCAGTGAGCGCAGACTGGCCAGCGAGCCAAAGGCCAGAGGGAGCACCGATGTGGACGGCAGGGCGGTGGGTGCAGGCGGCAGGCGGGATGGGTCCCAGGAGTCGGTGAGAGGAGAGGAGGGAGGAGGGAGGGGGGTCATGGAGGGGATGGGTGAGGGGGAGCGGTGTGGCGAGCGGGATCGAGAAGGTGGTGGTGGGGAGAAGGAGGCAGCGAGGGCGCTGAAGATGGCAGCGGCAGGTGTTGGGGGCGGTGGAGGCGTGAGCGGCAGGGGGTCGGGGATGGCAAGAGCGGCGGCTGGTTGGGGTATGGGGACGGAGGCAGAGCACTCGATGGAGAGGGAGGCGAGCGAGGTGAGCAGGGTGAGTCCGCGCGGCACAGTGGAGGCGGCATTGGTGGGCAGGGAGAGTGAGCGCAGGCGCTTGAGGCGGGCAAAGAGCATGTCGGGCAGCTGCAGATCGCCCGAGCACCCGTCCAATCGCAGCTCCTCCAGGCTCGCCAGCTCAGCCATGGACGGCGGCAGGCTCTCCAGCGACCCGCTGACGAGGCAGAGCTGAGTCAGCTCTTTGAGGCAGCCGATGCCAGGTGGCACGAGGGAGAAGGCGCCGCGCAGGTCGAGGTGGTGCAGGCGGCGCAGGCGCAGCAGCGAGTGCGGGAGGAAGCGCAGGTGGCCGTGGGCGCCCCACACCTGCAGGTGCGTGAGACTGGGTGCCAGCAGCTGCAGGTCGTCCGGCAGGAAGGTGGCGTTGCGCAGCGTGAGGTGCTGCAGCTGCGTGAACAGACCCAGCGATGGCGGCACCGACGCACTATCCAGCGACTGCTGCTGCTGCTGCTGGTGCTGGTAGTGATCCCCAAACAGACTCCCACCCCCACCCCCACCTCCACCCCCAACAGCATCCCCATGGTCCTTGCCACGGCGCGGTGTCTCCCACAGCAGCTCTGTGAGGTGCTGCAGGCGCGCGGCAGAGGGCGGGAGGTCGAGCAGGTCGTGGCAGCGCAGGTGCAGCGAGCGCAGGCTGGAGAGGTCGTCCAGGCAGTTGGGCAGGAAGGCGAGGCCCTTCCACCCCGCCAGGGACAGGCGCTGCAGCGACGGCAGCGACCACAGGGAGGGCGGCACGAAGGCGGGCAGGGGGAAGGCGAGGTGCAGGTCGTGCAGCAGGGAGAGGCGGCCGATGGAGTCGGGCAGGCGCACCTGCTGCCGCGGGTTGTTGATGTGCAGCGACAGCTGGCGCAGGTGCTGCAGCAGCCCCAGCGACTCAGGGATGTCTATCACAGTCACCACCCCCTGTGCCTCGCCCTCCTCCCCTGCTCCTCCCATCCCTCCTCCTGTCTTAGCTCCTGACACCCCACCTCCCATCCCCGGTCTCCCTGCTAGGCCGCCCTCGCTGCTGCTCTTCCCCACGCTGCCACACACCGCCCACGCCCCTGACCCAAACGCCACACCTGCAGGCCTGGCCCGCGCAGGGCTGAGATTGGACCGGCCCAGGTCAGGGGAGGAGTGGAGGAGGAGGTTGGACTTGGCGGGCGTGGCGAGGCGGATTGGCACGGAGTCGTGCAGCAGCTCCGCCACGCTCTTGCTCACCCCCGCTGGCAGCCCGCCCATGCCGCCCCTGCTGCCAGTGTTGCTGCTGCCGAAGCTGCTGAACAGCCCTCCCAGGCCGTAGGCAGTGGGAGCAGCGGAGGTGGAGGAGTGGGAGAGGCCCGGCATGATGCCCGTCTGTGGCGTCCACCACCCGCCTCTCCCCCCCGCTCCTGTCCCCGCACCCGCTGCGTCCCCACCAACCAGAGAGCGCCAGCTGTCGGAGATGAGGGCGCCTGCAGCGCTGCTGGCAATGCGGCCGACGAGGGAGGTGCTGCCGCTGGCGGCTCCTATGAGCCCATCCGCTATGGTGCCCGTGATGGTGCCGCCTATTATGCTCCCCGCCATGTCAGATGCCCTGTTCCCCCGGCCTGCTGCTCCTGCACCTGCTGCCCCTCCCTGTGCGCCTGCCCCTCCCATGGGAGTGCCGTCGCCAGGGTAGCCGCGCGGCATGGCGCCCCCGCCAGCAGCGAAGAGCAGAGGACTGCTGGTGCTGCTGCGGGGGGCGTAGGGAGACGCACAGGCCGCGCATGTGGGGCATGTGGATGACGGTGCCTGCTGCTGCTGCTGGTGGCGCTGCTGGTGATGGTGGTTATGGTGGTGATTACGCATGAGGCTGGATCCACCTAACCCCTCACTCGCCCCTCCCACTTCCCCGCTCCCCGCACCCGCACCCACCCCTGGCGGCATCAAGCTGCCCGGGGCAAAAAGAATCTTCATCAGCTGCTTCAGCTGTATGCCACTGGCCGAATCGCTGCCCGAAACCACGGACCCAGCAGCAGCAGCACCGGAGAAGGCGGTGCGGGGCGGGGTGGCCTCAATGGAGAGGCGCTGCAGCAGCGAGCAGCCCTTGAAGAGCGTGGAGAGCCCGTGCGGGCCGTACGCAAAGCCCAGGTCGGGGTCGGGGCCCAGGGCAAGGTGCGTGAGGGCCGGGCACGTGTAGGCGATGGTGCAGAGGAAGTCGTCGGAGACGGGCGCGTCGAGGGCAGCGGAGGGCAGCAGCAGCGAGTGCAGGGTGCGCGAGTAGGAGAGCGCCCTCAGCAGCCCCATGGCGTTCACCCGCTTGCCCCTAGGTAGCTTCAGCCGCGTGAGACCCTGCAGGGGGAGAGGAGTGAGGTAGGAACGGAGTGAGTGTGAGAGAAGAACCTGAGCGCTCAAACTTCAAATCACATCAAGTTCCACCTGATGATAACCACCTGGGCGGCGGGGCTCACCTGGTGTGCCACCTGGCGCCAGGCGCGGCAGACACAGGAGAAGCTGATCCAGTCGTGAGGCGAGTCGAGGAACGACAGCACGCCCAGCAGACACTCTGCCGTCAGCCTCGCCCCACTCGCTGCCCCCCCCCGCTGCCGTGCCGCTGCTGCCGCTCGCCGTGATGTGCCGGCAGCACCGCGACCCGCACCCGTGGCTGCACCCGACCGGCTGCTGCGCGCTGCACTGGCTGCTGTCAGCCCGGCTCCCAACGCCGGGAACACACCCATGCCCGCTGCAGCGGCGGCGGAGGTGGCGGAGGGGTCGGCGTGGTGCAGCATGGCGGTGCGGCGGTTGCCTGATGTGTTGGAGTCCGATGTATCGAGGTCTGGTGGGCACACGTGGCACACGTGGGACACGTGGGACAGGTGGGACACGTGGCACACGTGGGACACGTGGGACAGGTGGGACACGTGGCACACGTGGGACATGTGGGACAGGTGGGACACGTGGCACACGTGGGACATGTGGGACAGGTGGGACACGTGGCACACGTGGGACATGTGGGACATGTGGGACAGGTGGGACAGGTGGGACGGTGTGGAGGGCAGGTGAGTACTCAGACGTGCCGTGAGGCACAGAGGAGAGAAGAGGAGAGAGGAGATGAAGCGTGGATAGAAAACACAAGCTGTGAAATAACGACTACTGCGCACCATGCACTTACTGCTGCGCACCATGCACTGCTGCGCACCATGCACTTACTGCTGCGCACCATGCACTGCTGCGCACCATGCACTGCTGCGCACCATGCACTGCTGCGCACCATGCGCTGCTGCGCACCATGCACTGCTGCGCACCATGCACTGCTGCGCACCATGCACTGCTGCGCACCATGCGGTGAGTTGCCACAATGCAACGCACCTGCATCCGTGTCATAGGGCGTGGAGAGCTCACCTGCATCCGTGTCATAGGGCGTGGAGAGCTCACTCTCCTCCTCGCTGCCTGCCACCACACCACCCTCGCCTCCCCCCATGGCCTTGGCGCGTGCGGCGGCAAGCTGCTGTTGCAGCAGCAGGGCCAGCCCTTTGGACCCCCCCAGCGCGCCCACCACACCCTGCGACCCGCCCTCCGCCATGCCCGTCCCAAATATGTCGATCACCGCCCCCTCCTCCTCTTCCTCCTCCTCCTCATCTTCATCTTCCTCATCTTCCTCATGCTCATCCTCGTCCTCTTCCTCCTCCTCATCCTCCTCTTCATCCTCCTCTCCCCCGTTCTCATCACTAACACCCTCCGCTTCACTTCCCTCCTCTTCTTCCTCCTCCTCCTCCTCTTCCTCTTCTTCCTCCTCATCTTCCTCCTCCTCTTCCTCCTCTTCCTCCTCATCTTCCTCCTCATCTTCCTCCTCTTCCTCCTCATCTTCCTCCTCATCTTCCTCCTCTTCCTCCCCTTCCTCTCCTAGCTCATAATCTTCTTCCTCCTCCGCATCTTCACCTGCAACATTAAATGCAAACCCGCCACTTTCCTCTCCCTCCTCTCCTTCCTCCTCGTCCTCATCACCCCCCTCTTCCTCCTCTTCCTCTTCACCTTCCTCGTCCTCACCCTCCTCTCCCTCATCTTCCTCTTCCTCATCCTCATACTCTCCCTCGTCCTGTCCCATGTCCTCCTCCCCGCCTTGCCCCTCCTGCAGCCCCTCGCCTCCCTCATGCGCCCCCACCGCGCCCTGCATGAACTCGAACGTGCTATCCAGCTGCTCCCCACCGGCGCCCGTGCCCCCTGCCCCACTGCCCTCGCCTCCTCCTCCCTGCCAATCCTGCTGCTGCTGCTGCTGTTGAAACTGCTGCTGCTGCTCACCTGCAAAACCTTGACTGCTTCCCAGTCCACCATCATGCGCCCCTGCCTCTGCATACTCTCCCTCCCCCGCATACTCTCCTCCTCTGTACTCTCCTCCTCTGTACTCACCCTCTCCGTACTGCCCTTGCTCCCCGTAATGCCCTTGCCCTTCAAACTGCCCCTCCCCATACACCCCGTGTTCCTCAGTAAACTGGTTCTGACCTTCCACATACCCATCCTGAGTTTCGTTATAATCACCCTCGCCCTCATGGTAGTCACCTGCGCCCCAATCACCCTCCTTCCCATAATCCCCTTCGCCATACTGCCCCTCTCCCTGCCCGAATTGCCCCTCCGTCTGCCCAAATTGGCCCTCTCCCTGCCTGAATTGCCCCTCCTCCTGACCATATTGCCCATCTTCTTGCCCGAATTGCCCTTCTCCCTCCCCATAATGTCCCTCCCCCTCCCCGTACTGTCCTTCTCCCTCCCCATACTGTCCCTCCCCCTCCCCATACTGCCCCTCCCCCTCCCCCTCCCCATACTGCCCCTCCTGATAACCGCTCTCTTCCTCGCCTTGCCCTTGAAAGCCCTCAAACTCCCCTCCCTCCATCTGGCCCCCCTGTGCATGCCCGTCATAGCCCCCCTCACCACCGTACTCCCCTTCCCCATACCCCTCCCCATCTGGATACCCCTCTCCCTGCCCTCCCTCCTCGCCCTCCCATCCCTCCCCTCCCTCCTCCTCGCCCACTTGAAATCCACCGAACCCACCCTCTCCTCCATCATCCTCGTTATAGTGCTCCCCATCATACTGCTTGCCATACTCCCCATCAGCACCGCCCCCTTCCCCGCCCTCTGCTTGCCCATCGCCTGGGTGGAACCCCCCTTCCCCGTCAGCCACGTGCCCCTGCCCCTCTGCTGCGTACTGCTGCCCCTCATCATACTCCTGCTGCTCATCAAACTCCCCTTCACCCTCGTTATAATCACCTTCCCCATATTCACCTCCTTCATGCTCCACAAACTGCTGTCCCTCTTCCGCATATCCTCCCTCCCCCTCCTCGTACTGCCCTTCCACCTCTTGATACCCCCCCTCCCCATCATGGTACTCCTGCCCTTCACCATACTCCCCCCCAGCACCTTCACCCCCCTCCTCGTAATACCCTTCGCCCTCACCAAACTCTCCTTCATACCCCTCCTCTAAATGGCCCTCCTCCGTATACCCCTCCTCTCCATGCCCCTCCTCCACATACCCCTCCTCCCCATACCCCTCCTCCTCATGCCCTTCCTCCCCATACCCCTCCTCCCCTTGTCCCTCCTCCCCATACCCCTCCCCCTCCCCCTCCCCATACCCCTCCCCCTCCCCTTCCCCCTCGCCCTCCTGCACGTGCTCCAGCTCGCCACCATGCGCCATGCCGCCATGCCCCTCGGCCCGCCCGCCCTCATCCCCCCCTGCCACGGAGCCAAAGCCCCCCAGGGGGCTGCTCAGGGCGCCGTGCCCGAAGGGGCTGCCAAGGGGGCTGCCCATGGGGCTATTGCCAGCAGGCGAGGGCGGCATGTGCATGGCGTCCAGGTTGAACCCCAGGGGGGCGCGCGGGCCGATGGACGGCAGGCGCCACGCGTGCAGCACCTCCTCACCCACCTCGTCCAGCAGCCCTTCGCCCTCCCCGCCTGCCAACATGTGGTCCTGCTCGCCGTCATACTCGCCCTCGTACTCTTCTCCATGCCCATCCCCCTGCTCATCCCCATGGCCCTCCTCTCCTTCATGCCCATCCATGCCATGCCCTTCATGCTCGTATTCACCCTCATCCTCCTGCTCCTGCTCGTATTCTTGCTCCTGCACGTGCTCTTGCGACCCCGCCTCATCCTGCCCCTCAAACTCCAGGCTGCCCTCCCCGTCCAGCTCGTCATCAAACCCATCCAGGCCATTGATCCCCTCGTGCTCCTCGTCCATGCGCATCTCCAGCCGTTCATCCATCTCGGCTGCCATCTCCAGCGCCAGCTCTCTCTCCCTCTCCATCTGTCGCTCGCGATCGTCCTCCTCATCCTCCGCCTCTCCACCCCCCATCTCGCCCTCCTCGTATCTCCCCTCCTCCTCACCATACTCACCCTCTCCCTCAAACCCTCCCTCCTCTCCGTATCCCTCGCCCTCCTCCCCATACCGCTCTCCCTCCTCCCCATACCTCTCTCCCTCTTCCCCATACATCTCTCCCTCCTCCCCATACCTCTCTCCCTCCTCCTCATACCTCTCGCCCTCCTCCCCATACCTCTCTCCCTCCTCCCCATACCCCTCACCCTCCTCCCCATATCCCTCGCCCTCACCGTACCTCTCCTCCCCATCGCCATATCCATCCTCCTGCCGCCCCTCCTCATACTCCTCCTCGCCCTCCATCCGCTCCTCCCCTTCCCCATCCCAATCCCCGTCCTCCCTCTCCCGCTCATACACGCCCTCCTCCCCCGCGCCATACTCCCCATCCATCTCCACACCCTCCTCTCCCTCCATCTCCCCGTCATCCCCCTGCCCATACCCCGCCTGTCCGCGCCGCTGCACCAGGTGCTGCTCCAGCTTGGCGAACACAGAGTCGGTGCGCAGCAGATCCGACTTCCCCACACCGCCCGCGCCCACCTGTGCGCGCAGCAGCTCCGTCGCCGTCACACTCTGCGACCGCGACGGCTTCGCCTTGCCCCTCGCCCCTCCCCGCCTCCACCCCCCTTGCTCCTCGCCCCCGTCCCCGCCCTCCGCCCGCTCATCCTCGTACCCCTGGCCGCCCGCGTGCCACGCCATGCGCCCCAGAGCCATGGAGTGCGCCTCCACCTTGCCCAGCGACTGTGACCGCGACGCCTGGAACTTGATGCTCGCCACCCGCTCCTGCTCCTCCTCGTCCTCCTCCTCCTCTCCCTCCTCTCCTTCCTCCTCCTCGCCCTCCCCTTCCTCCTCCTGCAGAGTTTCCAAGTACTCCTCCTCGTCCCTCTCCCGCCCGCCATACCCATCCTCCTCCTGTACTCTCCTGTCCTCCTCCCCCACCTCCTCTCCATCCTCCTCTTCCTCTTGAATGCGTCCGCCGCCCCACTTGCCCCCCTCCTCCGCCCACATGCCACTGCCCTCCTCCCTCTCACGGTCACTCTGCTTCTCATCCAGGGCCCACGTCACGTTCTTGCCCAGCGACTTTGATCGCGACCCCCTCAGGCCCGTCGATGCCATCTGCTCCGCCGGAATCGACGACCGGGATCGCGACGGCGGGCGCGGCTTGAACGGCCCAAGATCGCCATACTGATCCGCTGCACCACCCCCACCACCACCGCGCCCACGCATGCCCCTGCCGCTGCCGCCCTCGCCCTGCCCATCGTCCTCCTCCCCCTCCTCCCTGTCATGGCTGCTCCACACGCCCGGCCCCAGGGAGCGGGAGCGGGAGGGCACGCCATTCTCGATGCGCACACCCTCCTTGTGGATCAGCTCGTCCAGCTGTCGGTTCACCCGCCGGTCCATCCACTCCCCGTCCGTCCTCCCCAGACTCCGCCCCCTCACCAAATCCCTCCCCTTCCCTCCATCCGCACTCTCCCCAGCTCCTCCCCCACTCCCCCCTCCTCTCCCCTTTGCTTCCTCCTCATCTGCCCACTTGAGGCTGCTCCCCCGCCGCAGGGAGGACGCCCTGTGCGCCGAGGGCTGCCCCGCCTGCACCCAGTCGCCGTCCGGCTGGTTCAGGCTGCCGCCACGTCGCAGCCCGCGGCGCAGCCCTCCCTGAGAGCCGTGCCCGCCCTGTGCATGCCACGACCCGTCGCGCTGGTTGAGGCTGCCCCCGCGGTGCAGGTCAGACCGCTGCTTGCCCGCCCCCGCCACCACCTGCTCGTCAATACGCCCCAGGCTGCGCCCCCGGTACAGCTCCGACGAGCCCCGCCGCCCACCAGGAGGAAGCAGCCAGTCGTTGCCGCCCTCGTCGTGGCCATCGTGGCCGTCGCGGTGGTCCTGTGTGCGGTAGAACTCGTGGTCCTCGTGGTCGTACGGCGCCGCCTGCCCCTCGTCTGAGTCGCCCTCCATGCCCTGCCCCTCGCCTTCCTCCCCTTCCTCTGCCCCCCCATGCCCGTACTCATCGCCCTCACCATCCTCCATCTCATATCCATGCCCCTCCTCATCCCCATGCCCATGCCCATGCCCCTCATGGTACTCATCATAGTCCTCCTCGCCCGCCTGCCCATACGCATGCTCCTCAGGCGGTCCATACTCGTCCTCTGGGTGACCCTCGTACTCATCCCCCTCGCCTCCCTCCATCTCCCCATACTCCAAGCCCCCATGCTGCACCCCGTGCCTCTCTCCCTCGTACCCCTCTTCACCCCCCTCCTCATACGCCCCATCATCCTCCTCATACTCCCCGCCTCCCCGCCTGTAAGCACCCCCAGCACCAGCATGCTCATCGCTGCCCTCCCCATGCTCAAACTCGTCCTGCCCCTCACTGCCATCAAGCTCCGCGTGCCCCTCGCCATGCATGTGCTCCCCTTCCTCGTACCCCTCCCCGGTTGCTCCGTACCTCTCCTGCCCCATTTCAAACCCTTCCTCCTCATACCCTTCCTCTCCCTCCACGTAACCTTCCTCGCCCTCCACATACCCGTCCTCGCCCTCCACATACCCCTCGTCCCCCTCCAGAAAACCAGTCTCCCCCTCCCCACCAAGCCCCTCCCTGCCCTCATCGTACTCGTCGCCCTCCTCAAACCCCTCCTTCCCGTGGCCCGCATACTCATCCCCATACTCCGCCTCCCCATCACCCACCCTCTCACCTTCCATGCCATGCCCTTCCAGCCCCTCCTCGTACTCGCCCTCCTCCCCAAAGCCCTCCTCCCCAAAGCCCTCCTCTCTCATCGCAAGCTCTGCCTCACGCCTCTCCTCCTCCTCCTCTTCGCCCTCCTCGCCCTGCGCCCCTCCCTGCAAGCCCATCCCAAAGTCGAAGCTCCCTCCCGAGTCCCCACCCCTGTGCCCTCGCCCCTTGCCCCTCGCGCCCTGCCCTTCCCACTCGCCCTCCTCCCCCTCCTCCCCCTCCTCTGCCATCTCCCCCCGCTCGCCCTGCCCGTACCCGCCATCGTCCTCGACATCGCGCCACTCCTCGCCCTGCATGCCCCCATGCACACCATCACGCATGCCCCCATGCACGCCATCACGCATGTCGTCATCATCACCCATGCCACCATGCACGCCTTCACGGAACAGATCAACCCCCTCCCCCTCATCCCCATGCCCATACCTCCCTTCCTCACCCTCCCCGTCCCACTCTCCCTCCTCACCCCCCTCCTCATGCCACTCCTCTCCACCCTCCTCCCCATCTCCCTTCCACTCTGTTTCATCCTTCCACTGTATTTTCGTCCGCCTCCTCCTGCCCGCGTCCTCCTCTCCTTCCTCTCCTTCCTCTCCTCCCTGCTGTGACCCTGCTCCCTCCTCCCATTCCTCTTCCTCCCTTTCCTCCCCATCACCAAACCTCCTCCCCTCCTCCCCCTCGTCCCCCTCCTCGCCCTCCTCCCCCTCCCACTCACCGCGAGGGCTTCTCATCAGCGCCTCTCCGTCCTCCGACCCCCGCCCATCCTCCCTCCTCCCATACCCCACCCCTTCCTCCCATTCCTCTCTCTCCCCTCCCTCCTCACCCTCCTCTCCTTCCCCATCCTTCCAATCTTCCCGTTCCTCATCCCACATCCCTTCCACCTCCTCCTCCCCCTCCCTCTCCCCCGCGCCCCCCACTGCATCCCCCTCCTCTGTCCCCATGGCAGCCAGGACGTCGCCCACGTGGTTACCACTCCGCCTCAGCCCGCCTCGAAGCCCCCCCTGCATGCCGCTGGGTCTCCGCTGCAGCCCTTCCTGGGTGGCGGAGGCGCGGGCGTGCATCTCCTCCTGCTCGCGCTCGTCCTCCTCGCCGCGCAGCTCGTCCATGAGGTCCGAGATGTACTTGCTGCTGCGCGCCAGCTGCGACGACTGCTCATGCTGCGACGACGCCTGCTGTTGCTGCTGCTTCTGCTTCTGCTGCTGCTGCTGCTCTGCTTCCCATGCCCGCTCTGCTACCTCCTCATCCCCCTCCATGTCCTCCCTATACTCCTCCCCCTCCTCTCTGAATTCCTCGTCTTCCTCATACTCCAGCTCATGCTCCCCATACTCCTCCTGCTCCCCATACCCCTCCTCCTGCTCTTGCCCATCCCTTTCCTCCTCCGATAAATAATCCTCCGCCTCACCAGACCCAGCAGCACGGCCGCCCCTGGCAGCAGCGAGAGCAGCAGCAGCGTCTGCAGCAGCCTCAGCAGCCACGTGATCATCATACAGATCCAGGTCAGACAGCAGGTCCTTCACGTACTTGGTGCTTCTATGCAGCCCTCCTGCCCCCCCGCCCACGCTGCTGCCTCTCGCACTGCCATTGCCAAATCCACCACCACCCTCCTCCTCCTCATCCTCCTCCTCGCGCCCGTCCCCTGGCTCCCCCTCCTCCTGCAACTCCTCCATTAAGTCTTTCACATACTTGCTGCTGCGCTCCAGCCCGCCAGACGCGCGGCTCCTCAGCCCACCACCAGCGCCAGCGCCACCACCATCACCGACCTTACCACTGCCACCTCGCTGCAAGCCCAGCTCGCCCATCAGGTCGCTCATGTACTTGCTGCTGCGCTGCAGGCTCTGCGACTGCGACTTGGGGAAGCGAGCCATTGCCGCCTGCCGCCCGCCATCCTCGCCCCTGCCCCTGCCCCACTCGCCCCCTCTCTCCTCCCCACCCACCTCATCCTCCCCTTCCTCGCCCTCCTCCCCCATCTCGTGCATCCCCCCACCAGTCAGGTACTTGCTGCTGCGCTGCAGTCCTCCCTTCGCCTCCCTACCCCTCGCCTTCGCCTTCCCTCCCTGCGCGCCCTCGCCTGCGCCCTGCCCGGCGCCATCGCCATACAGGTCCAGGTCGCTGAGCAGGTCGCTCACGTACTTGCTGCTGCGCTGCAGGCTCTGCGACGCCGACTTGGGGAACAGCGACCGCGCAGACGCGCGCCTCTCACCCCCCTCCCCCATCCTCGCCTCACTCCTCCCTCTCAACCCCACACTACCACCTCCCCCCTCACTTTCCTCATCCTCCTCCGCTGCATCCTCTCTACTGGCCCCTCCCATGCTGCCATTCTCACCCCCCTCCCCATCCTCCTCCCTCGCCCTCTCCCTCTCCTCATCCCACTCGCCCTCCTCATCACCATCATCGGAGCGTGCCAAGCCACCAGCCTCGGCGTCGAGCTCGTGCAGGAAGTCAAGCTCGAACTTGCCGCTGCGCTGCAGACTGCTCGACTGAGACGACGACTTGGGCAGCAGCGACCGCGCTCCCTCCCTTCTCACCCTGCCGCTCAACCTCCCTGCTCTCGCCTCCATCTCCTCGTCCCCCTCCTCTCCCTCCTCTACCTCCTCTCCCTCCATATCCTCTCCCTCTCGCTCCTCGCCCTTACCCTCCGCCTCGTCCTCGTCAGCCTGCATCTCGAGCATCACATCGCGCATGTACTTGCTGCTGCGCTGGAGGCTCTGCGATGCCGACCTGGGGAACGCACCGCCCGCGCCCACACTCGCTCCTCTGCTTGGACCCGTCTCCACCCCCCTGCCCTCCCCTTCCCCTTCCTCCTCCTCCTCCCCACCCTCGTCCTCCCCCATCTCTTCCCCCCGCCATGCTCCCTGTCCAACCCGCCTGCCACCATGGTCGCTCGCACCCTCCTCGCCACTGTCCCACTCATCCCCGTCCTCTATACTCAACTTCTCCTCGCCTCGCCGCCTCCCTCCCTCCCCATGCCCATCCTCCTCCTCCCCCTCCCCCTCATCATCATCGTACACAGGGAACAGGTCGCCGCCTTCCGAGCTCTCTCCCATGCTGGTGCTGCTGCCAAGCAGCCCAACCCCGCGCCTCATAACCCGCAACCCTTTCACACTCCCCTCCACACTTCCCTCCTCCTCGCCTTCCTGCCCCTCCCCACGACTGTCCCTCTCGTGCACGTCCGACCCGTCGTCCCTCTCTGATCGCTCCTCATCCTCCTCGTGCCCACCAGCATCACCGCCTCTTCGCCGTGCAAACCCTACCCCGCGCATCTGCTCACGTCCCATGAACTCAGGCGTCTGGGGAGTGTAAGGCATCTCATCCTCATCTTCCTCCTTCCCTCTCCGCATCTCGTCCCCCTCCTCCTCCTCCTCTTCCTCCTCGTCCTCCCCATACCCCCCAACAGGGAATAGGTCCTCCTCCTCCTCGTCTCTACCATCCCCCCTGCCAAATCGACCCCTTGCCTCCACACCCTCCTCATCTTCATCCTCCTCGTCCTCCTCACCGTCTCTGCCGCTCCCAAACTCCTCTCGCCAGTTCTCCTCCCCGCCGCTCCCCGCCTCCTCGCCCTCCTCCTCCTCCTCCATCTCATGCGGACCCATGTTGCGCTGCTCCTCCCTCGCCCTGCCCTCCTCATCCTCCTCCTCTTCGCTCCCCCACTCATGCTCCTCCCTCGGCCCCTCCTCGCCCTCCTGCTCATCCTCCTCGCCTCGCTGCGTATCCTCCAACTCATTACCCACCTCGTCTCGCCACACTATCCGCCTCTCCCTCCGCTTCCCATCCACACTCCCCTCGCCCTCACTCTCCCCTTCCACACTCCCTTCCACACTCCCTTCCACACTCCCCTCTGCCCTCGTCTGCCTCGTGCTCGCTCCCCTGCCCCCATCGTCTTCATCAATCTCCTCCTCGTCCTCGTCCCCATCGCCATCGCTCGCCCGCTCTGTCTCCCACACCTCATGCTCCTCCTCCTTTGTAAACCGTACACGCCTCTTCCCCTCTATGTTCCCCTCACCCACCCCGTCCTCCTCCCCCTCCTCCTGATTCTCGTCCCCACGCGCATCCTCGTCCTCTGTGGCCTTCTGGATCCCATCAACCCCTCCTTCACCAGCTTCCTCCTCCCTCCCCTCCTCGCCATCCGCCTCCTCCTCGCCACCCACCCCATGCCCCGCACCCTTTCCGCCACTCTCGCTACGTCTGCCCACCACCTCCTCCCCATCCACATCACTCACCACCTCTGACCCCTCCTCACTCCTCCTCTCCTCCTCTCCCTCCAGCCCTCTCCCCCTGCGACCATACCCATCCCTGGCCGGCCCCCTCCCACGCCCATACTCACTGCCCTCGTCACTCAACTCCTCATCGTCACCATATCGCCGCCTGTACCTCTCCTCGTCACTGTAATCACCCCTACCCCTCTCACTACCCCTCTCACTGCCCCGCCCGCTGTACCTCTCGTCATCACTGTACCCCTCACCTCGCAGCCCCCTGCCATACTCACTGCCGTCGCTCTCATCCTCTTCCCCTTCTCGGTGCCTCCCTCCCCTCCTCCTTCTCCCCATCGCCCTTGGAGTTCCCCCTTCCTCACTGCCTGCACCAGACCTCACTCTCTCCTCCTCGCTGTCCCATTCACTTCCCTTCCTCCGCTCCTCCTCCAAATCCTCCTCCTCCTCCTTGTGCTTGCTGCCCTCTCCGCGCTGCCGTGCACGCCTGGGCGTCTCCCCGTCCTCCCTCTCGCCCTCCTCGTCCGAAAGCACATCCGGCATCCTCAACACATCCTTTCTCTCATCTGCGCCTTCCTCTTCCTCGTTCACACTCGCCCTTCCCTTCTCCCCCTCCTCCTCTGCATCTTCCTCCCCCACGCTCATCTGCTCACTGCCCCTCAACCCTCTTGGTGTCAACCCCTCCTCAGACACATCGTCTGTCTCTCCGCCCGCCCCCACCCCCTCCTCCTCCTCATGCTGCTCTCCGTACAGCTCCTCCTCCCCCCCATCGCCATCCCTCTCCTCGCCCTCCTCTCCCTCCAGTCCTTCGCTCCCTCCAAACTCACGTGGAGAGCGGTCATCCTCGTCCCCATACCCTCCGTACAACTCCTCCCCCTCCTCCTCTTCCTCCTCTTCCCCCCTCATCCCTCCTCGCCTCCCCTGCATGCGTGCAGTCAGCCCGTGCTCCTCGTCCTCGTCATAGAGCTCTTCGTCTCCCTCTCTATATTCATCTCCCTCCTCATCCATCCCTTCATCATCTGATCCTGCCCCTCCCTTCTCGGTCCCTTCTTCTGCTGCATCCTCCTCATCTCTCTCTAACCCCGGCTCACGCCTCTCCTCCTGCTCCTCTCCTTCTCGCTCTTCCTCGTCCCCCTCCTCCCTCACTGTCCCACCTCCTCCATCAGCCCTGGGGCTCTCGTTATAGTCACTGCCTTCCTCGTCGGCCCCTTCCCCATATGTCCCTTTCTCAATTCCACCTTCCTCACCTTCTGCCTCCTCACCCTCTGCCGCCTCCTCTCCCGCGTCGCTTCGGAACGCACCAGCTTTACCACCACGACCACGCAGAAGAGACTCATCCTCGCTCAACCCATCCTCACTCCTCTGGACACCTTCGGGTTCTTCGCCATACATATCCTGCTCCCCCTCGCTTAGCATTTCCCTTTCCTCCTCGCCTTGCATTTCCCCTTCGCCATCCCCATACATCTCTCTCCCCTCTTCGCTTCGCATTCCCCCTTCCTCCTCGCCATACATATCCCTCTCCTCCTCGTTTTGCATGTCTGCACCACCCTCACCATACATATCCTCTTCCTCCTCACCATGCATATCCCTTTCCTCGTCCCTGTACACATCTCTCTCCTCCTCACTGTGTGCATGCCTTTCCTCCTCACCATCGCTGAGCAAGTCCCTTTTCGCCTCCCCTTGTCGTTCCTCCCCCATGAGCTCACCAAAATCAGCACCAGATGCGCCTCCTCCTACCCCTTCTTCCTCCTCACCACTCACGTCATTTGCCCCACCTCTCTTCTCTTCCCCAGCACTCTCCTTCCCTTCCCACTCCCCTTCGTTCTGAAGCGCATCCGTCCCTTCCTCGCCTGCATCCTCCCCCGCGTCCACTTCCCCTTCACTCCGCTCCTGGGGACGTGTGGCCTTGCCGTCCACTCCCCCCTCCTCCTCACCGCCCTGCTCGTCCTCCTCGCTGTGCCGTTCGTCCTCCTGCCCCACCATCTCACCACCCTCCGCGCCATGTGAAGCTGTGTCTTCTTCCTCGCCGCCCTCCCCTGTGCCCTTAGCATCCACTGCACCCGCACCTCCCTCCCCATCCCCTCCTGCTCCCTCCCCCTCTGCTCCTTCCATGGCCTCCTCGTCTGCACCCTCCGACCTCTCGTCCTCGCTATACCTCTCCCCTCGCCTCCTGTACCTCTCTTCCTCCTCCTCCTCGTCACTGTAGCGTCCTCTCCTCCTCTCGTCGCCATCCTCCTCATCACTATACCGCTCTCTCCGCCTGTACCCCTCTCCTTCCTCATCCTCATCCTCATCCTCATCACCAGCACGCCTGTCCCTGCGTCGCCCGTACCCCCTGTCCTCATCACTGTACTCATCGTCACTGTATCTTCCCCGCGGCCGCTCCCCATCTCTCCCGCGCGCGCCCTCATCCTCCTCATCACTGTACAGGGGTCGCCTTCCCCTTCGCCCCGCTCCCTCGTCGCTGTAATCACTCCTCTCATCCTCGCTGTACTCGCCCCGTCCCTCCCCTCGCCGTCCACCGTACCCCCCTTCCTCCTCATCATCATCACTGTACAGCCTTCCCCTTCCCTCCCCATCCCCGCCATCCTCACTCGCTCTACGCCTCCCCATCTCCCCGTCGCCCCCTTCGTCCTCACTGCCTGCCCTCCCACGTGACCCTTGCCAACCGTCACTGCGCCCATCACCCTCCTCGTCGCTCCCCTCACCAGCACTGCGGCCTGCAACGTCCCTTCCGTCTGCCTCAGCATCCTCGCCACGCTCCTCAACCTCTTCCTCCCCTCCCCCCACCCTCCCCTCCCTCTCCTCCTCCGCAAGCCCAGCGCCCTCATCGTCGTTTCGAACCCTCTGCTCGCCGCCCTCGTCCCCCCGCTCATCCTCGCCCTCCGCGCTCGCCACCTCTGCGGCGCCACCTCCCCCATCATCCGCATCTTCTGCATCACTCTCCTCGCCGCGTGCCCTGCTTGCAACTCCCTCGCCCTTACTCGCCGTACCCGCATCCTCCCTCTGCCCCTCCTCCGCGGCTGCTTCAGTGCGCTCCTCCTCCCCCTCCGACAGCACTGCCCTCGCGCCCTCCTCCTCGTCGCCGCCTTCACGCCACACTCCTTCCTCCGCCTCCCCCTCTGCGCCGTCCTCCTCATGCAGCCCCCCCTCCCTTTCCTGCATCCCCGGTTCCTCCCCTTCCTGTCCCCCGTCCTCCGGGTACTCCCCCTCTTCCTCCGGGTATTCCCCCTCTTCCTCCGGGTATTCCCCCTCTTCCTCCGGGTATTCCCCCTCTTCCTCCGGGTATTCCCCCTCTTTCTCCGAGTACTCTCTTTCTTTCTCCGGGTATTCCCCCTCTTCCTCCGGGTACTCCCCCTCTTCCTCCGGGTATTCCCCCTCTTCTTCCGGGTATTCCCCCTCTTCCTCTGGGTATTCCCCCTCTTTCTCCGGGTACTCTCCTTCTTTCTCCGGGTATTCCCCCTCTTCCTCCAAGTATTCCCCCTCTTCCTCTGGGTATTCCCCCTCTTCCTCTGGATACTCCCCCTCTTCCTCTGGGTACTTCCCCTCTTCCTCTGGATATTCCCCTTCTTCTTCTGGGAATTTTCCTTCTTTTTCTGGGTACTCCACCTTTTCCCCTGGGTATGCCCCCTCTTCCTCCGGGTACTCCCCCTCTTCTTCCAAGTAACCCCCCTCTTCCTCCGGGTGCAAATCGTCCTCCCCCAACCGTTCATCCGCCTCCTCCGTTCCGCCCTCAGCCCCTTCCGCGCTGCCCTTGCCGCTCTCTTTCTTGCCCCTCCCCAACCCCCCCTCCTCCGCCTTGCCCCTCCACTCCTTCCTCCCCCGCCTCCTCATCCTCTTCGTCGTACATGTCCCCGTCTTCCCCGTACATGTCCTCCCCTTCCGCATACATATCCCCCTCTTCCCGCGGCAGCTCTTCTTCAACTTCGCCCCCCTCTGCCCCCTCCGCAAGAACATCACCACCACCTTCCTCTTCGCGCCCCTCTTCCGCGTGTTCCCCCCCTTCTTCCGCATACTCTCCTCCCTCTTCCGCGTATTCTCCCCCTTCTTCCGCGTATTCTCCCCCTTCTTCCGCATATTCTCCCCCTTCTTCCGGGTACTCTCCCCCCTCTTCCGCGTACTCTCCCCCTTCTTCCGCATACTCCCCCTCCTCCCCATAACCCTCTTCACCATACTCCTCATCCCACTCCCCCTCTTCCCCGTACTCCCCCCCTTCTGCATACTCTTCCCCTTCTGCGTGCGCCCCACCTTCCGCGCCCCCTCCGCCCTCCGCGTGCCCCTCGCCTTCTTCCCCGTACCACTCCCCGTCCTCCTCGCCCTCGCCGTACCCCTCCTCGCCCTCGTAGTGCTCCTCTCCCTCGCCAGCCGCCTTCGCTCCACCATCGCCACCCCCTTCCACGTATTCGCCTTCCTCATCGTAATACTCGCCTTCGCCCTCCCAGTCCCCTTCCTCCCCCTCGTATTCCCCCTCTCCTTCGCCCTTCACGCCTCCCACCTTCTGCCCCTCAACACCCTCTTCCTCCTCGTAATATTCTCCTTCTGCGTCCTCTTCGCCGTATTCCTCGCCGTACTCTTCGCCGTCGCCCCCCTCGTGAAGCCCATCGCCAGGGGGGTGCGGCCGTCCTTTTCCTGAACCCTCGGCACCACCTTCCTCGCCATAATCACCTTCGTCTCCGTACATGTCATCTCCCACGTTGTAGTCATCTTCGCCTTCTTCGTACGGCTTGTTACAATCGTCGTCACCACCTTTCGCCGATCCGTCGCCATCCATAACGAATCAATTTCGCAGGTACTAATATACTTTCGCTCGACGTATTGAAGACATCAACAAGGTCTAGCCTAATCTCTAAGCAGAATGTCAAATGTTAATAAACTGAAGGCCATAAATTGTAATGCCGCGAAGGCTTCGCGCTTTGCATACACCAACGTCGCCCTCGAGTGCAGATCAAAATTAAGTTAATGCTAGTCACCCAATTCCGCGACAACGCGGTTTGGGAATCAGTTGTTAATCACCAGCCTTCATGGAAAACCGATCAATAATTATTAATTTTAATAAATATTTACAAAACTTCACCATTCCTGAGCACCTCGCTCTGCTCGCCTTTGAAAGGCCTTCGTGGAAAACTCAAGTGAAACGCAAGGGGTGGGAGGGAAGGAGGAGCTGGAGTGGAGTTCGACAACCCCAAGGCACGCATGCATCAGTCAGTTGAGCGAGGTGGGTGTGTGGGGGAGGGGAGTGTGTGCTGCGCAGCCGCCGTACAGTACCATCACTGACCCCCACTGACCACAGCTGCCAACCAACCAAACCGAAGCAAACACGGAAAACCCTCAATCAGACTGTTGCGGTTGGGATAACCTCGGGGCTGCCACGCGAACGCAAGCGAGCGCCTACGCCCGTGCTTTTCCGCCGTGGCTCGTATGAACATAGCAGTCGTTTGAGAATGTCGAAGCTACCTCCCAAGCAGCAACTTGCTTCGGGCCCCTGCAAACCGAAGCACGGATCTGGTTTGAGAAACATAGAGGCTGGTTCGAGTACGTACCTGAGTTCAAGGTCTGGAGGAGAGGCTCCGCCCTGGAAAGTACTTCACCTCGATGTAGTCTGATTCACGGCTACACCGCGCACACACAAAAATGAGCAACAGGTAGGAAGCTGGGCCCTTCTTATCAGACCAAATCGGTCTAATGGTTCTATTTTCAGAAAATAATTTTATCATACTTTTTCAACAATGACCTTGATTTTGGGTGATCCATAGGACTACTGAATTTATTTCGTCTTTTTTTTACAAAGCTTTATACTTCGTTACAAGGCTTTCCCTCAGATGGGAGTCTGCATTTCTAGGGAACATCTGATTAAACCCGAGTCTAGAATGGCAATGTTTCATAAATACTGAAGTTGAAAGTGGTTTACGAAGGGTGGCGAGAGTTCAATTCGCTAAACCAGGATGGCGAAAGGTGACGAGCGGCGAATATGACCCTGTGTATTGTTGGCCACTTTCGAATTCAAGAAACTTGAAGGCTGCACAAAGGACAAAAGTGCCACAAGGCGAGAACATTGAGGGTCCGAGAGATCACACCTGAAAGTCGAACGTGTGACCGACAAAATTATTTCAGCATATAACGCTGGTGCGATAAGAATATAAGACTGACGTGATAGCAATCCTAAAGTGGAGAAAATTTTCACACCGTAATTTGTGTGGTTGAATGAGCATCAGAAATGCTAATTACAGAGGATTTCCACATTTCAATACGATTTGAAACCAGGAAGATTAAAAAAAAAAAAAAAAACAAAGCAAAAAAACAAGAGGCGACGAAATCGTCTTAGGGCTGCGGAGTGTCAGAACATATAGCTTGCTTATTTGTGTAGGCTATAGTGGGGTATCCCATAGGGGGTACAACACAATTAGGGTTTCCTATTTGTACTCACTTCGTTCTTAGTCATTTCATTCTCGTTCTCTCTTTCACATGGTATCAGAGCAGGTCCCCTACTAGGGACTGTTTCTTGGGCCCACCGAAGCGCGCCCCGAGGCGCGCGTCCTTTTTTTTTAGCGACCCGTCGTGTCGCCCTCCCTAGCGGCCTGTCGAGCCGCCCTACCTTGCGGCTCCGCCGCCCTATCGCGCGGCCTCGCCGCCCTAAGTCGCGGCCTGCCCGCCGCCCTACTTCGACGGCCCGCCCGCCGCCCTACGTCGCGGCCCCGCCGCCCTACGTCCCGGCCCGCCCGCCGCCCTACTTCGACGGCCCGCCCGCCGCCCTACGTCGCGGCCCCGCCGCCCTACGTCCCGGCCCGCCCGCCGCCCTACTTCGAAGGCCCGCCCGCCGCCCTACGTCGCGGCCCTGCCGCCCTCAGCAACGCGGCCCTGCCGCCCTCTGCTACGCGGCCCCGCCGCCCCTCGATCGCGGCCCCGCCGCCCTCTGCTACGCGGCTCCGCCGCCCTCTGCTACGCGGCCCCGCCGCCCTCTGCTACGCGGCCCCGCCGCCCTCTCCTACGCGGCGCCGCCGCCCTCTGCTCCGCGGCCCCGCTGAGCCGCCCAGCATCAGCCGAGCCGCCCAGCAGCAGCCGAGCCGCCGCCGAGCCGCCGCCGCCTGAGCCGCCGCCCGGGCCGCCGCCGAGCCGCCGCCGCCTGCGCCGCCGAGCCGGAGCCGCCCGAGCCGCCGCCCAGCCGCCCAGCAGCAGCCGAGCCGCCGCCGAGCCGCCGCCGCCCGAGCCGCCGCTGAGCTGCGACCGAGCCGCCGCCCGAGCCGCCCGAACCGCCCGAGCCGCCCGAGCCGCCCGAGCCGCCCGAGCCGCCGTGCTGCTGTTCCTGAGCTGTGTTCTTCTGCTGCTGACCTACCCGACTCTCCCAGCCCGGTGAGACTTCCAGCTGCTGCCATGGCCACCCCCAATGTTCTTACTTTTGACGCTGAGGGGAGGGCCATTGACTTTGCCGTCTGGATTGAAGACCTGCAGCTGTACTTACTGTGTGATGCGATAGATGAGGTCTCTCTTTTTGACTTTGTCTCTGGCGCTGTTCCTGCCCCACCTGCTGATGCTGACTCTGCCGTTCGCTCCAAGTGGGCGACCCGCGATGCTGCTGCACGTCTTGCTGTGCGTCGCCACCTCCCTTCCTCTGAGCGTGCCCACTTTAGTCAGTGCAAGACCGCTCAGGCCTTGTACGACGCTGTAGTTGCACGCTACTCCTCCCCTTCCTCCGCTACCCTTAGCCGCCTCATGCTACCGTTTCTCTTCCCTGACCTCGCTTCCTTTCCCACTGTCGCTGACCTCGTTACCCACCTCCGTGCTAGTGACACCCGCTACCGCGCTGCCCTTCCTGCTGAGTTCCGCGCTGCGAACCCTCCTCCCATGTACATCACCCTCTACTTTCTCGTCACCCGTCTCCCTGAGTCCCTTCGTGTCGTTAGGGACCAGTTTCTCTCTGTCTGTCCCACCACTCTCACTGTCGACCTCCTTGAGGAGTCCCTGCTAGCGGCTGAGAAGAGTATTGTCGCTGTAGGGGCCTCTCGGGGTGACCCTCGCACCCCCATCTTTGAGGGGTGTGGTCCTTCCCCCCTGCTGCCCTCTGTCGCCTCTGCCGCTGCGGCCGACCTCACTGGTTTTGAGTCGGTCGGCGCGGCGTCTGCCCCCAGCGGCAGACGCCGCTCTGGCAAGAGCAAGGGGGGCAAGGGAGCGGGTGGAGCTCGAGGGGGCGGTGGAGGAGGCGGTGGGGGTGGCGGGGGGAGTGGGGGTGGCGGTGGGGGTGGTGGCGGGAGTGGAGGTACTGGTGGCGGCGGTGGAGGCGGAGGTGGCGGCGGAGGTGGTAGCGGAGGAGGCGGTGGGAGCGGTGGGAGCGACGGTCCTGGTGGGGGAGGTGGCGGTGGAGACGGGGGTGGCGGTGGAGGCGGGGGTGGCGGTGGAGGCGGGGGTCGGAGTGGCTCGTCCCAGCGGAGCAGCTCTGGGGGTGGTCAGCGCCAGCAGCAGCAGCAGCAACAGCAGCAGCCGCAGCAGCAGCCACAGCAGCAGCAGCGCTCTCGCACCGTCCCCGGCCCTCAGCAGCTCCGTGAGTGGTACTTGCAGCGTCAGCGTGGTGGTGCGCTTGGTCCCTGCCCCTACGTTCTTCGCACAGGTGACCGTGCAGGGGAGAGGTGTGGAGGCGCCCACACAGCCCGCCGCTGCTTTGGCCGCCTGACCGACGCCTGGCGTCAGCAGTTTCCGGAGGCCGCTGAGATCCCCCGCTGGGGAGAGCTGTCTAGGGCTGGTGTAGCTATTTATGATCTTGATTTTGATGCTATTCTCTCTGCTATGTATGCTGTGACTGGTAGTGATGAGGATGACTGTTACCGGTGTTTCCCGCCCGACCCGGGCATTGGTACGGCCGCGTCAGGTACTAGTGAGGCTGCTGCTCTAGGTGCCAGTGCGTCTGTGCTCTCAGGTGCTGGTGAGTCTGCCCTCTCAGGTACTGTGTCGGCTTCGGCCTCTCACACCTTCACCCTTGACTCTGGAGCGTCTCGCTCCTTCTTTAGGGACCGCACCACTCTCACGCCGCTGAGTCGGCCGGTTGCGGTGTCCCTGGCTGACCCCTCTGGGGGGCCTGTCCTGTCTCGCTTCTCCACTGTCCTCCCGTGTCCGGCGGCCCCCTCTGGCACCCTGACTGGTCTCTACCTCCCCTCGTTCTCGACGAACTTGGTGAGTGGTGCTGACCTCCAGGATGCGGGTGTCCACCAGTTCACCCCTGCTCGTCAGCGGGTGACCCACTGCACGGAGGCGGATACAGGTCGCCACCTGGCTACGTTTACACGTCGGCCAGGGTCGAGCCTGTACACACTGACCACTGCTTCTCCTCCAGGTGCTGACTCTGGTAGGGTCCCTTCGTCTGGTCAGGTGTTTGCTGCAGCGTCCAGGTCTGGTCCTGAGTCTGCCCCCTGCTCGTGTCGTCGTCTGTCTCACGAGACCCTCCTCTGGCACCACCGCCTTGGCCACCCCTCTCTGCTTCGGCTCAGAGGCATGGCCTCGCGAGTCCTTGTGTCTGGTCTTCCCCGGTCTCTCCCTCCCCTTCCTCCGGGCCCTGGCCCTACCTGTGTCCCCTGTGTCGAGGGGCGCCAGCGTGCTGCCCCTCACTCCTCCCAGTTTCCTCCGACAGAAGCCCCGTTGCAGACGCTTCACATGGACGTGTGGGGCCCAGCCCGCGTCCGTGGACAGGGTCAGGAGCGCTACTTCTTGCTGGTGGTTGACGACTACTCGCGTTACACCACAGTCTTCCCCTTGCGCAGCAAGGGTGAGGTCACTGCGGTGTTGATC